TTCCTTCCTTCCTTCCTTCCTTCCTTCCTTCCTTCTTTCTGTGTCCTGCTGGTGGGCCGTCTCAGAGCCGCTGCAGTCTGTGTTTGGATCCATTGTTGATGAATTAGTAGTGAGCTGCATTTAGCCCACCAGGTCAGCGGCGTCCTCAGGCTTCCTAGAAACCAGAACATGGACAGCTGCTGTGGCTCCTCTGTCAGGTTTTGTCTTGGTCGGGTCCCATGCTGTTCCTAACGTTTCTCCATAGAGAAACTCAGCTAATATTCACCGTTGCTGCAGGATGGTCCAGTCTGGAGCCCTGAGAAGTTCTGCTAAAGGCATCGGTTGATCCAGAACTTTCAATTTAGATTTATTTAAGTTTGTCAAAATTCTTTGTTTAATCTAATATTTTCTCCTGTTTTTATTTGTTGGCCTTTTATTTATTCTATTTAAAGTGATCATTTTATTGGTCTCAGTAGTTTTTTAGTGTTTATAAAATTCTTTCACATTTCATTGTTTTTATGGTAGTTATTAGCATCTCGTATGAAAACATTTTTTTTGTGAATTTGGGTTATGGTGATAATTACAACATTTATAAATGTTCAAAATGTAGAATGGAGCTAAATGCATAAACTAGATGTAGAAGTTTATAAATAATAAATATTAACCAGTTTATCTAAAACTTTTCCATCAGATTAAAGTCAAACTGTTCTATGAGGCGGTTTTAGTGAGGAATCGTCCAATCAGGTTTGACCAGGGGTCCGTTAATAAAAGCTGCTCTCTATTGGCTCAGAGAAGGCTTCTGTCCATCCTGTGTCCCCTCCTCCCTCCGTCTCTCTGGAGGACTCAGTCTGTCCTCTGGTCCCACAGTTGAGCTGAGGGGGATTAACGGGACAGCTGCACCCGGGGAATCGCTCTGGTACCGGGTTTACAGCCTGAGGGCAGGACCGGCTTCAGTCTGTCCTCATGCAGCCGCCGTCTCCCCCTGAAGGTCCTGGGATCCATCCTGGGTTTGTGTCTTCCTCTGGATTACCGTGTATGTGTAATCTGCTGAACGTTCTGGATTTTGACTCAGCCACCCGACGGACCCTTTCTCGCCCCGAACCGAGTGTGAGTGACGTAACCGGCGCACGCTGAGGTCATCGCTTTAGGTGCTGGTAGCGATCAGAGTGGCGGACAGATGAGCTGCTCCACACTGCTGGATTAATACAGATTACAGCTGAGCTGTTTGTCCCAGAACACGAGATGAAGAGGAGGAAGGAGCGCTCAGGAGCCCCTCACCTCCACCTCCAGTAAGAGAACCCAGTCCATTGTTTACATCGGGTAATTTGGGTCGGATCCGTGAGTGAAAACCAAAAGTTTAATCTGTTCCTAAGAGTTCAGAGCAGACGGGAAAAGAGCCCTAATCTGAGAATATTAGCAGGATTTGTTTTGTTTTTCTATTGGTTGATTAGACAGAACCGTCCAGAACCCGGTTTATTTTTAGATCTAGATTTGTCTGGAAAAGCAAAACATAGCAGTGAGAAACAATAGACCCCAGTCTGTGTTCTGTTGTCCTCATCCTCTGTCTCCCTGTTTGTCCTTCTGTCCGTTTGTCTCTCTGTCTGGTTTAAGGAGGTTCCAGTTTTTGCTTCATTCATCTCAAACTTTTGTTTCAAAATAAAGAAATTCCTATGAAAGCTGCAGGACCCGAGAACCGAAGATAAACGGGTTCTAAGAGACTAAAATCCCAGATTTTAGAGCCTAAAATCCTCTGAGTTTTGCTGACTCTGATCTCCCGAAGCAGAGGGACATTCAGCAGGTCTAGATGCGGCTGATCTACATTCTCTCAGAGAGGTCCTCTAAATGTCAGTGAAGGTCCACAGATGCTGCTTGTTTAATATGACCTGATGGGAGACCTGATCCGATCTATCGGAGCGGGAGGCTGGAGAACAACAAATGGGTCGGAACCAGAAGAATCTGAAGCGAAGATAAACCCTCTGATGGCAGACCGGGTCACCTGGAGGTCATAGTCAACCTCACCTGTCCTCACCCCAGCTGTCCATCTACAGAGATGAACCCATCTGACCCGGTGCTGGTACCGGGTTCTACTGACCTTTCATGTCCGATTCCTGCGTGTCCCTCAAGGGAACAGTTACATAAACTTCTGCTACGTCTATAAATATCATCTCAGCATCACTGTGGGCAGCATTCCGACTCTAAGGTCCGTTTGGACAGAACCACCATGTTGATGTTGTCCAGGGGTTCTGAGACTCCATTTGCATGCTGATATAAGCTGGGCTCAGCTTGTTGTCATGGTAATGTCTCCAAGCTGCTGGGTCCAGATGTGAACCAAAGTCTCTTGGTTGATGCACTTGAAAAATGACTTCAGAGTTTTTAAGTGTTTGAAGTCTGGAGGAACCAACCTGTTCCTGAGAGAAGAGGCGGCACTGAGCCCTCCTTCCCCAGCAGGAGGCCGCGGCCATATCTGTTCCTGCTGGATGGAATGTCTGAGTTGGATTAAGTTCTGCTGATGTTCTTCATTTCATTCAAAATGTCTTAATTTTAGACCCGATTAAGGTTCAGATCAGGAACCAGAAGACACTGAATGATCATCTCAACTTCTCTGTCAAAATCATCTGACTTTTCCCAGGTGAAGTGAAGAACCATGAGAGTTTGTATTCTGCCGCTTTAGAAGAGAAAGTTCAGTTTTCTCTGATAATCTGAAGAATTACCTGACCAGATAATTTATCACCTGTGAACCAAAACAGCTTTATGCCTGAGTACAAGTGCTCATCTAGAAGTTATTACCTAGAAAAATAAAGTTTCTAGTTAGAAACCAGTAAAATGTTCCTTAAGGTTGAGTTTATAGCTGCTGTTCCCGGCCAGTGCCACCAGAGGGCGCCTCTCAGCAACATGAACAGGTTCAGCCTCAGCTTGGAGTCAGGTGTCTGTCCTCCCTCCTCTCTTCATCCTCTTTTCCTCCCTCCTCTCCAGAATCTGGTCACCAGCACAGCTGCGTTGCCAAGGCAACAGCAGCCTCCTCCTCCAGCACCTGCTGTCTCCTACCTCCTTTCATCCCTCTGTCGATCAGCCCTCCTCTTCCTCCTCCCCTCCATCCTTCTTCCCCTCTGACGGCCCTCTCTCTGCCCCCGTTTACCTGCGAGGAAATCCCTTCCTCTGGAGGTAAGAACCCCCCACCTCCACCTGCATGGTTCCTACCGTGGAAACGTCCATGCTAATGACCCACAACTGCATTTTCCAATTAGATTCATTTGTAATTTTGAGGAGGAATTAGAAGGATAGAGACATCATTCAAAGCCGGAAAATCAGATAAAAAAAATCAGATTTATTAGAAAGTTTCTTATTTTTGAGGGACTTGCCGCTTGCTGGGGCTGAGCTAGGCTAGCCCTGCATCAGGTTTTAGGATCAAACCTTGAAAAGATTAAAGTAGTGAGAGTTGAGGGAAATGTTGGCTGCTTGTTATAACCAGCAAATATTCTCAGCTGATATATCTACTGTTTTCTCCTTTAGCTTGTTGTTATGCTTTTATAAGACAGACCAGCAAACGTTTTTTAATCTGTACGAAGGTTTATTAGCTGTTTGAAAGCATGAGGACACATTAGAGCCTCAGAAACTGAGAAATCTAAGCTTCCTTTATCCCCTGATCCCATTCATCCCAACGTGATTTTAGCTGTGGTACCTGGTGGTGACCTATGGTAAGTTGATGCGCAAACAAAAGTCATTGTTGGTTATCTTAGTCTTATTTTGAAAGCCTTGCTTGGTTGCTGTTTCACAGCTAGACTTGCTTTATTAATTAATTAATCCTAGGCCTATTTTCAACTATTCAATTATACTTTACTACTGAAATCTGATGTTTTTATTTTGAAATTTAAGAACATTCTGTTGTTAAAGGGCCAAAGTTGTCCACTGTCCAAAACAGGTTGAGATCTGGGCGTAATTTAATCGCTGTGCTGCTGAGATCTGTTTTGGCTCAAGTCTTTTATTTTGTAGAGTACTGGATGTCTTATCTTGAAAGTCTGGCA